GTGTGTGTGCGTGCGTGCGTGCGTGCGTGCATGCGTGCGTGCGTGCGGGCGGGCGGGCGGGCGAGTTGCTTGAGTGTTTGTGCGCGGACGCACATGCGTGCATGCAACACCCGCCTCTGCTGGGCCGAGCGCCGCCGCGTTTGAGGCCTTTGGCTGCAGCGGTGTATGCGCTTCAGCAAGTTTGTATAGTCGTAACGTTTGAACCAATAGTAGTGACAAGAAGCACTGCGACCTAACGACCAAGTGGTGGTCGGGCACCACGGCGCCTGCACACACACACACACACACACACAGAGACCAAAGACAGCCGGCGGGCGTCGGCCGAAAGGCGGCGTGCAGGGCCCGCATGGCACGCGCGCGCGGACGCACCTGCCGCTGCAGCCGCTCCCACCAGATCGCAAACGCCGCCCGCTGGTTCTCCTGCAACTCGCGCCCCTTCCTGCGGCGCGGGGACGCGGGCGCAGGCGCGGGCGCGGGCGGCGGTTTGGGGGAGGGTGCCGTGGCAAGCCGCATGCAAGGGTGACGGAACAAAGGCGCCTTTGGGCGAGGGGCGGCCCCGTCAGGTGCACGCACGCGTCCGCTGTGGGCGCGCAGGGTCATCGGCGGGCGCCTCGCCGCCGCAAGGGGTCGCTGCACGGACTGCGCACGTGAACCAAGCCAGCAGGACCATGCCAACAACCCCCCTACTTCCACGACAACCGTGATGTTGCAACACTTTTGGGATTGCTGTATTGTGATTGCTCTGCAGGTTCCCGTCAGCGCAGCCCCTGTTGCCACCGGCCCTCACCTGCTGTTGCAGTCAACAGCAACCCCTTGCGCCAAAAATTTCCCAACTTCAAGCAAACCAAGAGTGGCTACAATTCTTTGATGATTGCTGTTAGTCAGATGCGATCCAGGTTCCCGCAAGCACAGCCGCCATCACTGCGCCCCCGCACCTGCTGTTGTAGTTGGTGAAGAAGCAGAACCCGCGCTCGTCGTACTGCTTCAGCAGCACCATCCGCACGCTGACCGCGCCGCCGGGCGTACTGCTGGCCACGGCGATGGCGTTGGGTTCCTGGATCTCCTGGGGGCCGACCGGGGCGGTTTAGCGGTTTGGCGGTTTAGCAGTGTAGTGATGTAGCGTTTGGGCGGATCAGATCGACGAGCTGTGGTGCGTTCACTCACGGTGTTCGAACGAGATGTGCGATTTCTCAAAACAAACGTGATCAGGGAGGCTGCAACAGCCGGCCGGCCCCTCTCATCCCCGCCCCGCCCGCTGCGGGCGAAACCCACCGGGTCCGCGGCCGCCTCCTTGAACCACGCATCGAATTGAGCAAAGGGGTCACCATTTACGTCGTCCTCAGACAGGGTGCCCGCCTGGTACGTGATCCGCATGTCGGCCGGCTTGGGAAGCTGCCCGGCAGCCGCCGCCCCCTCCGCCGTCCCAGACGCGGCCCCACCGCCGGCCGGCGCCCCCGCGGCGGCCGCGGCGGCCGCGGGCGCGGGGGCGTCCCAAATGTCGACTCGCGCGGCATGGGGCGGGGAGATGCGGACGGATTGGGCTGTGCCCGGGTAGGCGGGCAGTACAAGGCCGTACTTGTCCCGCGTGGCGGGCGGTACGAAGCGGCCGCCCAGGTAGTGGGTCCCCTGCCGGGCCAGGCGGATGGGTGACGCATTTCGCGGGTGTCGACGCAGGGTGTGGGCGCGGCGGGGTCGGGAGCGGGGGTTAAGCGGGGGGCGCCGTCGGCGAGCCACAGGCGGCGCGGCGCGGGAGTCTGGCGCGGGCTAAAGAGCGCCACGGTGCGGGGGCATCACGTGTGACAAGGTGTGTGATATTCAGGCGAACGCAAACCAAACTGCACGCAGAACAGGCCGGGGTCAAACCTGGAAGCTCTTCGCTGCGAGCTTGGGGGCCGTGAGGCTGACTAGGACGTCCGGCCGAATTCCGACCCCGCTGGGATCTCCCTCCTCCACGTGCCAGCCGGACGGAATGTCAACAGACACGATCGGGGGCGGCCGGGCGGAGGGCTTCAGGGACTGCGGCGGGTGAGACGGCGAGGGGGGCGCGCGGCACGCGTGGGGG